CTATCAATGTAATTGTCTGCATCACTTCCAATCCCCCATGTTTATTTTTATTTTTTATATATATACTCCCCTTTATTACTTTTCAACCCCACCATCCTTTCCCTACTTGGAGTAAATTAGTGAACAACAATGCCCAGGCCTCTACTTCCGGTCAATACTTACTATCTACACCTTATGGACAGAGTTAATTTTACAATAATTCTATTATATATATATATACAGTGGGGAAAAAAAGTATTTAGTCAGCCACCAATTGTGCAAGTTCTCCCACTTAAAAAGATGAGAGAGGCCTGTAATTTTCATCATAGGTACACGTCAACTATGACAGACAAAATGAGAAGAAAAAAAATCCAGAAAATCCAGAAAATCACATTGTAGGATTTTTAATGAATGTATTTGCAAATTATGGTGGAAAATAAGTATTTGGTCAATAACAAAAGTTTCTCAATACTTTGTTATATACCCTTTGTTGGCAATGACACAGGTCAAACGTTTTCTGTAAGTCTTCACAAGGTTTTCACACACTGTTGCTGGTATTTTGGCCCATTCCTCCATGCAGATCTCCTCTAGAGCAGTGATGTTTTGGGGCTGTCGCTGGGCAACACTGACTTTCAACTCCCTCCAAAGATTTTCTATGGGGTTGAGATCTGGAGACTGGCTAGGCCACTCCAGGACCTTGAAATGCTTCTTACGAAGCCACTCCTTCTTTGCCCGGGCGGTGTGTTTGGGATCATTGTCATGCTGAAAGACCCAGCCACGTTTCATCTTCAATGCCCTTGCTGATGGAAGGAGGTTTTCACTCAAAATCTCACGATACATGGCCCCATTCATTCTTTCCTTTACACGGATCAGTCGTCCTGGTCCCTTTGCAGAAAAACAGCCCCAAAGTATGATGTTTTCACTCCCATGCTTCACAGTAGGTATGGTGTTCTTTGGATGCAACTCAGCATTCTTTGTCCTCCAAACACGACGAGTTGAGTTTTTACCAAAAAGTTATATTTTGGTTTCATCTGACCATATGACATTCTCCCAATCCTCTTCTGGATCATCCAAATGCACTCTAGCAAACTTCAGACGGGCCTGGACATGTACTGGCTTAAGCAGGGGGACACGTCTGGCACTGCAGGATTTGAGTCCCTGGCGGCGTAGTGTGTTACTGATGGTAGGCTTTGTTACTTTGGTCCCAGCTCTCTGCAGGTCATTCACTAGGTCCCCCTCGTGTGGTTCTGGGATTTTTGCTCACCGTTCTTGTGATCATTTTGACCCCACGGGGTGAGATCTTGCGTGGAGCCCCAGATCAAGGGAGATTATCAGTGGTCTTGTATGTCTTCCATTTCCTAATAATTGCTCCCACAGTTGATTTCTTCAAACTAAGCTGCTTACCTATTGCAGATTCAGTCTTCCCAGCCTGGTGCAGGTCTACAATTTTGTTTCTGGTGTCCTTTGACAGCTCTTTGGTCTTGGCCATAGTGGAGTTTGGAGTGTGACTGTTTGAGGTTGTGGACAGGTGTCTTTTATACTGATAACAAGTTCAAACAGGTGCCATTAATACAGGTAACGAGTGGAGGACAGAGGAGCCTCTTAAAGAAGAAGTTACAGGTCTGTGAGAGCCAGAAATCTTGCTTGTTTGTAGGTGACCAAATACTTATTTTCCACCATAATTTGCAAATAAATTCATTAAAAATCCTACAATGTGATTTTCTGGATTCTTTCCCCCTCAATTTGTCTGTCATAGTTGACGTGTACCTATGATGAAAATTACAGGCCTCTCTCATCTTTTTAAGTGGGAGAACTTGCACAATTGGTGGCTGACTAAATACTTTTTTCCCCCACTGTATCCATGACATTCACAATTTCCTTAAGAGCATGTGGGTGATTGTTTGTGGTGTGATTTCCTTTACGGTCCATTGAGCTATTTAAAACAGTATTATAATCCCCCACCATAATAATATTGTCTTGAGTTGCTTGCAGGCTTGATAATTTATTATATATATTGTCAAAGAATTGTGGATCATCATTATTTGGTCCGTAAAGGTTAATGAGCCATATCTGTTTATGGTCCAATAACATATTTAAAATAATCCATCTACCTTGCGTATCTATTTGGACAATTTGCACATTCGGATCGAAATGACTATTAATTAATATCATCACCCCTTTTGAATTTCTTTGCCCATGGGAGAAGTATATTCCCCCCCCCCATTCTTTTTTCCACGCTACTTCATCTCGAATTGTTGAATGAGTTTCCTGTATACAATAGATATTATATTCCTTCTCTTTGAGCCATGTAAATATTGTTCTTCTTTTGTTATTATCAGCTAAGCCATTACAATTATAACTGGCTATACTTATTTCACCATACACCATAATGAGATACAAGTTTCAAGTTTATTTATCATTATATATGTTTCTAAATTTACCAATAAAAAATAGCGTAATGATTGAGTGTCCATATAGCTGTACCATGATATTTGCATTGCTACGGAGTAACCCTTCAATTGTTCTCCACTAATTCCCCCGCTAAAGCCCCTCCCCATCCCAAGTTGAGCCGTCATCCCAGTGATCAGCATCCCACCCATCCCATCTTTGTCCTCCAAACACGACAAGTTGAGTTTTTACCAAAAAGTTCTATTTTGGTTTCATCTGACCATATGACATTCTCCCAATCCTCTTCTGGATCATCCAAATGCACTCTAGCAAACTTCAGACGGGCCTGGACATGTACTGGCTTAAGCAGGGGGACACGTCTGGCACTGCAGGATTTGAGTCCCTGGCGGCGTATTGTGTTACTGATGGTAGGCTTTGTTACTTTGGTCCCAGCTCTCTGCAGGTCATTCACTAGGTCCCCCTCGTGTGGTTCTGGGATTTTTGCTCACCGTTCTTGTGATCATTTTGACCCCACGGGGTGAGATCTTGCGTGGAGCCCCAGATCAAGGGAGATTATCAGTGGTCTTGTATGTCTTCCATTTCCTAATAATTGCTCCCACAGTTGATTTCTTCAAACTAAGCTGCTTACCTATTGCAGATTCAGTCTTCCCAGCCTGGTGCAGGTCTACAATTTTGTTTCTGGTGTCCTTTGACAGCTCTTTGGTCTTGGCCATAGTGGAGTTTGGAGTGTGACTGTTTGAGGTTGTGGACAGGTGTCTTTTATACTGATAACAAGTTCAAACAGGTGCCATTAATACAGGTAACGAGTGGAGGACAGAGGAGCCTCTTAAAGAAGAAGTTACAGGTCTGTGAGAGCCAGAAATCTTGCTTGTTTGTAGGTGACCAAATACTTATTTTCCACCATAATTTGCAAATAAATTCATTAAAAATCCTACAATGTGATTTTCTGGATTCTTTCCCCCTCAATTTGTCTGTCATAGTTGACGTGTACCTATGATGAAAATTACAGGCCTCTCATCTTTTTAAGTAGGAGAACTTGCACAATTGGTGGCTGACTAAATACTTTTTTTCCCCACTGTATGGCGCAAGATCCATTTGGAAATGTGTATGATATGATATACATGGACAGGAAAGGTAATTATTGTTGTTTGTATACTGTGGAGTAATAAAATCAGAGTTATAATTTTGGATTATGACAGCGTAAATTAGTTGTGCTTAGCTCACAATTAATTCATAAATTGGGTCGTTCATAAATTGCTGTGGCATTTGCGTTCCTCACCTTTGCAACCATGGAAAACACTTTAAAATTACAAATAGTTACACCTCATACATGTTTTTGCTTATATTTAAATGTTTATGCACTGTTTAAAGTACTTAGAGTAAGCAAATTGGCTTGTCCCAGTAGTGACCTGGTAAAGTTGTAGTGGCATCCCATTGGGAAAAAACAGGTGGAATCAACTTTATCGGGTCACTATGATGCAGCGGTCTAAGGCACTGCATCGCAGTGCTTGAGGCGTCACTACAGACCCGGGTTCGATCCCAGGCTGTGTCACAACCGGCCGTGACCGGGAGTCCCATAGGGCAGCGCACAATTGGCCCAGCTTCATCCTGGTTAGGGGAGGGTTTGGCCAGGGGGGGGCTTTACTTGGCTCATTGCGCTCTTGTGGCGGGCTGGGCGCCTGCAGGCTGACTTCGGTTGTCAGTTGAATGGTATTTCCTGTGACACATTGGTGCTTCCGGGTTAAGCGGGCGGGTTTTAAGAAGCACGGTTTGGCGTTTTGGGGGACGCATGAGACAAGATCATAATTGGATATCACAAAATTGGGGAGATTATTAATTTTTTTTCTCACCCAACTTTTAACCTAAATCCAATGGTGAAATGTTTTGTTGATTTCACGTTGAATTTACGGAAGCCCTACATGTTAGTTAACAACTCAACCTAATTTAAATCAAAACTAGACAAACTGATGTATGTGCCCAATGGGATGTCCTCTTAATTGTCTCTTCCATCTAACACATTTTACACAAAGGGCATTGTTACATGTTCTTAGTCATTGTGTATTTATTTTGTGAGTTCGCAGATGTCTCTTCAGACTTGATGCTAACTTCAAGTGAGTTCCACACAAATGACATTGAACTCCCTCCCCTGTATGAACCTTCATATGCACTGTCAGGTTTCCCTTTAGACTGAAGCATTTGCCACATTCGTTGCAACGATGTGGTTTCTCCTCTGTGTGAGTCATCATATGCTTTGTAAGGGTTCCCTTGTCGCTGAAGCATTTGCCACATTCTTTGCATCGAAATGGTTTCTCCCCTGTATGAGTCCTCATATGCAATATCAAGCTTCCCTTAATGCTGAAGGATTTGTCACATTCTTTACACGGATACGATTTCTCCCCAGTGTGATTTTGCTGATGCTGTTTCAGACTTCCTTTTGTTGTCAAGCATTTTCCACACAAATCACATTTAAAAGCCGGCCCTGTATGAGTACCCATATGATTTTTCAGGTTATTCTTGTGATTGAAACATTTGCCACATACGGTACAGCAATGTTGTCCCTCCTCCGTGTGAGTCTTCATGTGCCGGATCAGGTAGCAGTTCAGGACAAAACCTTGTCCACATATGTCACACATGTATGGTCTCTCTTCACTGTGCCTATTTTTCCCATGCATTCGTAGACCACCTCTTGTCACAAAGCATTTTCCGCAAACATCACATTTCAGATCAGGCAACTCCCTGGATTCTTTCATTGGCCGTCCTTTTCCTCTCTTTGATTTAAGAGGCTTTAACCCTGACAATCGTATTCTATTCTCCAGATTTACTATTACATTATCACTTTCACTGTTGTCACTGTCAGAGGGGGGCTCATAGTCACTGGTTGATTCGGACTCGCCGTAGCTCTCGCCATCAGATTCTGTCCGGTTCTCTACAGTTATGATGTTGATAGAGTTCCATATAGACTCTTCGGCATCAGACTCCTGCGGCCTCAGACAGGCGTTCCATTCCTGCTCACAGTGCTTCTGCTCAGGGTTAACCTCCTCTTCAGTGAGAGTGAGCTGCTGGAGGTCTGGGGGTAAGGAGAAAGGAAGACATTTTAATGAAAACTTCAACGATGAAGAGACAAATAGTGCTAGTAACTAAAACGGTGGGACAGTGACCACCTTTTCTGCTTTCATTTATGGTATCCAGCCCCATATTGTTTTCAATGGGATTCAAAATGGTATAATCCAATTCATGAAAAACGCAGTCATTTAAGATAGGCCTATATCTAAAATAATATTTGGATTTGTGGATTAATTTATAGTCGATGCCTGTTATAAAAATATTTAATGCTCAAGAAGTAAGACATCTCAGAAAGTTAAAAAAAGTATAATGTGAATTACAACTCCCACTAGTTCTGTTTGCGTGCTGGATTACATGTCACACTCGAGTCATTCGAGCAGAACACTCACAGGTAAGGACCGCCGCCCGTAAGAACATATTATATAGATATTTTACTGAACATCGCCTGCATTGTGGGATGCACTCTTTGTCAATCTTTAGGGTGTTTTTTGTATTTTACCCACGCTAACGTGACCAGAGGTGACTGAAACAGGAAACAACTCTGCAGTGATTCAAAAGCTACAGTGGATACAAATTAAAGTTTTTCCCCAAAAGTAACCATGTAAAACATGTTTTCAACCTGATAATCCTTAAATAGCAACATCACCATTAGAGCTTTGTGAACAGACATATGTCAGTAGCCTAGCTGTCCTGTGTCACTCAATCATAACAAATTATATTTCTTAGAAATTAAAGTTACATTTCACTGAACTCAAAAGTAGACTAATGTTGAGATATGTCAACATCTCAGGCAATCTGCTGTGTAGATCCAACTATATACCCTCAATCCCAAATGAATGGAAAAGATCAGCACCATAATTTCCTGGTTTCCCTGGTTTGATTTGATTGTTATCTTTTCCATTCATTTGGGGTGAAGGCATATAGCTAGATCTACAAAACTTGGTTTATACTGATAGAGTTCTGAACATGTCTGATGTAACGGAGGCTCCCCTATAGGTGGAGGTTTCAGTGAGGAGGCAGACAAGAAGTAGCAGTGCAATGTCCAGGGGCGGATGTTTATTTACAGTGACGTAGAGTAGTTGGCAAACTGTACACATGTACAACGGAAAATAACAAACAGGACGAGGAAACAAAGTGGGGGTAAATCAAATAAGTAGAGTGCTCAAAATAAACCAGGCCTCCATCATGCCTGAAAATATAGTGTACGCCAGCGGGAAACACTCTTTTCACAGCACTTCGATACCGACGTGACTTTTCCGTAGCAGGTTAGGAGAACTTACGCAGCAGGTTAGGATACTTAACGTAGCAGGTTAGGAGATGCCTATGGAGCTGTGAGGGGAACGGCACCTCCTTACCTTCAGGCTCTGATCAGTCCCTACACCCAAACAAGGACATTACGTTCTTCCACCTCTGGCCTGCTGGTCCCCCTACCTCTGCGGATGCACAGTTCCCGCTCAGCCCAGTCAAAACTGTTCGCTGCTCTGGCACACCAATGGTGGAACAAGCTCCCTCACGACGCCAGGACAGCGGAGTCACTGACCACCTTCCGGAGACACTTGAAACCCTACCTCATTAAGGAATACCTGGGATAGTATAAAAGTAATCCTTCTACCCCCCCCCCCCCCCCACAAAATATATAAAATAATAATACAAATAAATAAAAAAGCACAATAAAAAATAAATAATAATAATAACATTTGTAAAGTGGTTGTCCCACTGGCTATCATAAGGTGAATGCACCAATTTGTAAGTCACTCTGGATAAGATTGAGATTGAGGTTAAGAAAAGGGTTAGGGTTAGCGAAAGTGCTCTCCTAACCTGCCATGAAAATCACTTTGTATCAAAGTGCCGTGAAAAGAGTGTGTCCCCTACGACCAGCATGGCACCTTACCCCTGTCTCTGTCTGGCCAACAATGAAATGGCAGGGTTTAAATACAAGTCCCTCAGGCCTCACCTTGGAATGTACCACTTTTGACCGATCACAACTAAATGGTCAAAATACATTAATGAAATGATCAATAACCATAAAAAGGTAATCACATTGACAATTCATAAATATACACACTTAAATAACAGTATTTGCATAAAGCATATAATAGCTTTGGGTAACAGCCCCCCCACCCCCCCCCGGGATTCAACCACATTATAGAGCCCAGTAGCACAGGATAAGTAGCGCTCCTGAACACAGCTCTGTTGGACACACCTCCAGATGCAGAGGAGCATCAACCTGGTCTCAGAGCATTTTGTATTACTCTAAATCAAATCACATTTTATTTGTCACATGCACCGAATACCGTGAAATGCTTACTTACAACCCCTTATCCAACAATGCAGTTTAAAAAATAGAGTTAAGAAAATATTTACTAAATAAACTAAAGTAAAAAATGAAAAATACAAAAAAGTAACACAATAAAATAACAATGAAGGTATATACAGAGGGTACCGGTACCGAGTCAATGTGCGGGGGTACAGGTTAGTCGAGGTATTCTGTACCTAAATCCGCGACACTCCATTTAGTATGATATGTTATGTTTCGTATGGTATGTATTAATTTGTGGATGTCCATCATACATTTCGTATGGTATGTTACGAATTTGCAAAACGTATATGTTACAAATTCCAATTTGGTGTGGCTAACTTTAGCTAGGCGGCTAATATTAGCTAGACAGCTAGGTGGCTAACGCTAATGTTAGCTAGCAGGCTGGCTGTTAGCTGGGTTACGTTTACGATGCTACATCTAGTCTATGAGACCAGGCTGGGAGCATTACAGAGTGGAACAAACAATTATCCTTTCAAATGACCCTTACCAGGTAAGTTTGCAAACAATTCCTACCTTTAACATAACCAAAACATGTGCACTTGAATGGTAAAATGAATAAGCAAAAGCATGATTGCACAGAGTAAATTAGCGGAGCTTCAAGCAAAGGTTTGGCGTGCCCAAAACCAATTGAATGTCGGCATCTGACAAACATACATGCGTTTCTTTATAGATCAACATTAGCGGTACAGAGGGACCTCACAACACACATATAACATTTAATAAATTCATTTCATAAGCCAATGGGCCTAAACCGTTTCAATGTCAGAACACAGGCACGGACTGACCCAGCTCCGTGACATCTGACAAACTCTCTTAGAATGACCATTGAACAGATTCCCAGATGGCAAACTGTACCATTAACCAAGAGCAGTGATCTGAGGGCTGTCTTCTTGATACGGTCTCTTCTACCTTCCATCTAACACATTTAACAAATTGCATTGTTACGTGTTCTTAGTCTTTGTCAATATTTCTTCTGTGAGTTCGGAGATGTCTCTTCAGACTTGATGCTAACTTCAAGTAAGTTCCACACAAATGACATTGAACTCCCTCCCCCGTATGTGTCCTCATATGCACTGTCAGGTTTCCCTTTAGATTGAAGCATCTGCCACATTCGTTGCAGCGATGTGGTTTCTCCTGTGTGTGAGTCATCATATGCTTTGTCAGGCTTCCCTTCTCGCCGAAGCATTTGCCACATTCTTTGCACTGAAATGGTTTCTCCCCAGTGTGAGTCCTCATATGCTTTATCAAGCCAGACTCACAGTCGAAGGCTTTGTCACATTCTTTGCACGGATGGGATTTCTCCCCAGTGTGATTTTGCCGATGCAGTTTCAGACGACCTTTTGTTGACAAGCATTTTCCACACAAATCACATTTAAAAACCAGCCCTGTATGAATATTAACCATATGATTTTTCAGACTTTCCTTGTGAAAGAAACGTTTGCCACATTTGGTGCAGCAATGTTGTCTCTCATCTGCGTGAATCTTCATGTGCCGGATCAGGTAGCGGTTCAAGGCAAAACATTGTCCACATGTGTCGCACATGTATGGTCTCTCTTCACTGTGCCGGAGTTGCCGATGCCTTTTCAGACTACGTGCCGTCGCCAAGCATTTTCCGCAAACGTTACATTTCAGATCCAACAACTCACTGGATTCTTTCCTTAGCAGTCCTATTGGTCTCTCTTCACTGTGCCAATTTTGCAGATGCCTTCTCAGACCACTTGCTGTCGCAAAACATTTTATGCATACATCACATTTTAGATCAGGCAACGCCCTGGTTTCTTTCCTTGGCCGTCCTCTTCCTCTCTTTGATTTAAGAGGCTTTAACCCTGACAATCGTATTCTATTCTCCAGATTTACTTTAACATTATCACCTTCGCTGTTGTCACTGTCAGAGGGGGGCTCATAGTCACTGGTTGATTCGGACTCGCCGTAGCTCTCGCCATCAGATTCTGTCCGGTTCTCTACAGTTAAGATGTTGATAGAGTTCCATATAGACTCTTCGGCATCAGACTCCTGCGGCCCCAGACAGGCGTTCCATTCCTGCTCACAGTGCTGCTGCTCAGGGTTAACCTCCTCTTCAGTGAGAGTGAGCTGCTGGAGGTCTGGGGGTAAGGAGAAAGGATGACATTTGATGAAAAGACGTAACATAGTAAATGTAAATCCGGGACGTTTGGTATGGTTACATAAGACAGAATGTTACTTAAGGCAAAAAACAAAATAACCCAAAGGTTTGAAGCTCATCACAGATAACTTTAGCATTTTAGCTAATTAGCAACTTTTCAACTACTTACTACTTTTTAGCTACTTAGCATGTTAGCTAACCCCTTCCCTAACACTTTTAGCTAACCCTAACAGTTTAACCTAACTCCAAACCGTAACAACTAGCCTAGCTAACATTAGCCAGCTCGCTAGTGTTAGCCACCTAGCTAACATTAGCCACAACAAATTGTAATCCGTAACATATGATACGTTTTGTAAATGTGTCACATATTGTATGTTTTGCTCATTCGTAACATGGATGGTGGACGGGGACATTCACAAATTAAAACTTACCATACCATATCATACTAAATGAAGTATCTCTGATTAACGTAAAGAATAATATGAAATGCTCTGAGACCAGGCTGGCTAAACATGTATGATAGTCATTTCAGCGTGAATTAATTTGAATGCAAGATGCCTTCGGAAAGTATTCAGACCCCTTGACTTTTTCCACATTCTGTTACGTTACAGCCTTATTCTAAAATTGATTAAATTGTTTACTTTCGTCATCAATCTACACACAATACCCCATAATGACAAAGCAAAAACAGGTTTTCATAAATGTTTGCTAATATATATTTTTTAAATAAAACTGAAATATCACATTTATATACTCTCAGTACTTTGTTGAAGCGCCTTTGGCAGCGATTACAGCCTCGAGTCTTCTTGAGTATGACGCTACAAGCTTGGCACACCTGTATTTGGGGAGTTTATCCCATTCTTCTCTGCAGATCCTCTCAAGCTCTGTCAGGTTGGATGGGGAGCGTTGCTGCACAGCTATTTTCAGGTCTCTCCAGAGAAGTTCGATCGGGTTCAAGTCCGGGCTCTGGCTGGGCCACTCAAGGACATTCTGATACTTGTCCCAAAGCCACTCCTGTGTTGTCTTGGCTGTGTGCTTAGGGTCATTGTCCTGTTGGAAGGTGAACCTTCGCCCCAGTCTGAGGTCTTGAGTGCTCTGGAGCAGGTTTTCATCAAGGATCTCTCTGTACCTTGCTCAGGTAATCTTTGCCTCGATCCTGACTAGTCTCCCAGTCCCTGCCAATGAAAAAGATCCCCAAAGCATGATGCTGCCACCACCATGCTTCACCGTAGGGATGGTGCCAGGTTTCCTCCAAATGTGACGCTTGGCATTCAGGCCAAAGAGTTCAATCTTGGTTTCATCAGACCAGAGAATCTTGTTTCTCATGGTCTGAGAGTCTTTAGGTGCCTTTTGGCAAACTCCAAGCGGGCTGTCGTGTGCCTTTTACTGAGGAGTGGCTTCTGTCTGGCCACTCTACCATAAAGGCCTGATTGGTGGAGTGCTGCAGAGATGGCTGTCCTTCTGGAAGGTTCACCCATCTCCACAGAGGAACTCTAGAGCTCTGTCAGAGTGACCATCGGATTCTTGGTCACCTCCCTGACCAAGGTCCTTCTCCCCCGATTGCTCAGTTTGGCCGGGCGGCCAGCTCTAGGAAGAGTTTCGGTGGTTCCAAACTTCTTCCATTTAAGAATGATGGAGGCCACTGTGTTCTTGGGGACCTTCAATGCTGCAGAAATATTTTGGTACCCTTCCCCAGGTCTGTGCCTGGACACAATCCTGTCTCTGAGCTCTACAGACAATTATTTCGACCTCATGGCTTGGTTTTTGCTCTGACATGCACTGTCAACTGTGGACCTTATATAGGCAGGTCTGTGCCTTTCCAAATCATGTCCAATCAATTGAATTTACCACAGGTGGGCTCCAATCAAGTTGTAGAAACATCTCAAGGATGATCAATGAAAACAGGATGCACCTGAGCTCAATTTCTAGTCTCATAGCAAAGGGTCTGAATACTTATGTAAATAAGGTATTTCTTTTTTTTGTAATACATTTGCAAATATTTCTCAAAACCTGTTTTTGCTTTGTCATTATGGGGTATTGTGTGTAGATTCCTGATAAAAATTATTTTTTACATACATTTTAGAATAAGGCTGTAACGTAACTAAATGTGGAAAAGTCAAGGGGTCTGAATACTTTCCGAAGGCACTGTACAATGGTATACCCTGAAACTGTAATTCTGCACACAGTGTACAGTATGCTATCAACATTTGTGCTGCAACAGTAAAATACTAATTCAAATTTAAGACAAAATGGCCTAAAATATAGAAAATGATTGACAAATTAACACAGTCTTCTTTTTTGAAGTAGGCCTACATTTTCTATAGGGTTGTTCCGTTCAACTTTGAGGTCAACTTTGAGCACCTCTATCTCCTAAATGTTTTGGCATTCAGGTACAAAAAGTAATTTTCTGACCACTCCTACCATGGGCAAATATGTATGGAAAGTTTTGTTCAAATCAAAAGGTGTGCGGTCAAAAAGTGATTGAAATCAAACGGAACGACCCTAAAGCCACATTTCCTGACAGTATTTCTGGCAAAATTATATATTGTAATTGCAATATTATTGAGCAGATAATGATACTTGGCTAGCTAGCAGAGCTAACATCACATATTTTATTCTAGTCAGTTGCTACAGCTGCAGCCAAATACACAAAGGAAGGTGTTCCTAATATTGAGTTGCACCCCCTTTTGCCCTCAGGACAGCCTCAATTCATCGGGGCATGGACAGGGATGCTGGCCCATGTTGACTCCAATGCTTCCCACAGTTGTTAAGTTGGCTTGATGTCCTTTGGGTGGTGGACCATTCTTGATACACACGGGAAACTGTTGCGCGTGAAAACCCCAGCAGCGTTTCAGTTCATTATACACTCAAACCAGTGTGCCTGGCACCTACTACCATACCCCATTCAAAAGCACGTACATTTTTTGTCTTGCCCATTCACCCTCTAAATGGCAAACATTCACAATTGTCTCAAGGCTTAAAAAAATGTTTTAGCGTGTCTCCTCCCCTTCATCTACACTGATTGAAGTAGATTTAACAAGTGACATCAATAAGAGATCATAGCTTTCACCTGGATTCACCTGGTCAGTCTGTCATGGAAAGGTGTTCCTAATGTTTTGTACACTCCACAAACAGCAGTTGTTGTAGGGCACCCCCTCAAACATGAAAGAATTAGAGCAGTTTGCTTTTGAAGACTGGGACATTGCAAGCTCATTGATGGTTATGAGAAGCATTTGTCTGCAGTTATCGTCAATATTGTCTGGCTACAGCAAATATCTTCTCAGGATAGACGCTCTGAGGCATACGAGCTCAGACAGGTCGAATGGTGCCAGAGAGGATGGTGTGTTACCGCCAAAGACGGTAAGGTATGAAGATAGGCAGAAGCTGCTTCTACAATAGAAATCCCCGATGACGCTTGTAGGAAATGTCATGGCGACGTTGGCTAGCTAAGCTCATGCACAGAAACACGTCATCGAGTCTAACGGTCGTCTCGCATGTGCAGGCCATCAAATCAAAGGAACTCCTTCGATATAAAGTTGTCAGTTTGTCACTTACACAAGGTTGTAGTAATAACATGTTCAACTACTTAAGACATTGGCTCGAATCTAGGTTAGATTTAGAGAAAATTAACAACTAAATAATAATTTTTCACTTCGCTCATTGACTTCTCAAACCCCAAACCCCAGCCTAATCTGCTTGGTCTGCTTCGCAAGCGTTCCCAGAAGTCTCGCGATGTTGCGCCTCTGGGATTAGAAACTCTGTGTTACCGCAAGGCAAGGGTGTGTACTAGCTAGCGTGTTCTACAGCTGATGTGTACTATAGCTAGTGTGTACTAGCCATAGATAGACTCATCTTTGTATACCGTAAAAATTAATAGCCCAGGTGTTTATTTGCTTAAATCACTGAACACAACAGGCGCTTATTAGAGACAGGCTTCTATTTGAGCCAGGAGTCTATTTCCTTAATGCACACAGCATTTGCTCATTTGCATAGTGAATTGTTTAATTCCTGCATTAACTTCCAGCATTTTAATCAATTTCTTCATTTCCTGCACTAATGTGTTTTCCTTTACACACTGTGTCACGTTTGTTTTGTCTTAGTATGCCTCTATTTCAAAAACAACAACAAAAAAACATTTCCTTGACAGAATAATTATTCTCCTCTTACTGTGCATTTTCGGCAATTATTACTTTCATCAGACGATTTCTGGGGGTCTGTTCTCCCGAAGTTGTAGACTGTTTTTGTGCCAGTTAGCTGGCAGTTCTCAGCTGTTAGCAGCCAATGGCTTGCAGTTTCTTACTGGTAATAAAAACGGAACGATAGCCATCATTTTTCGAGTCATTTCTGAATTATTCAATGTAACAAATCAAACATTAATCCTCAAACAATTAATGGTAACCCCATAAACAATTCATTTAGACTAGGCGTTTATTTGAAACAGGCGTTTATTTGTTGAAATGTGTGCCATTGCCCGGCTATTAAAAGGGACAGCGTTTAATTGAAGTTTTACGGTATGTGCCATTATAGTGTCTGTGACAGCATGGGCAGTGCCATTGAGGCAATCTCCATTTTGTAGTAGTACATTTTCTTCTTCATGATTGGCTGATCCCTCCTGATGACCCGGTTGGACATGACTCCAACCCGGTCACCAGGAGGGATCAGCCAATGAAGTTGGAAGTCCCACCCAGTTGACTACATTAAAATGGTGGAAGCCCTCAATTGCGCTGCCCATGCTAATACGGCCTTTTGGCCACTAGAGGCCTCTATCATTCTCTTTGTGTACAACCTATCTAGCGTGTACTCTAGCCACAGATAGAACAATGATACAGATATTTCACTGGATGTATAATGTGAATCATCCGCTTGGCGTTTCCACTCACTACCAAATATGGTAGTGAGAGGAAGCCCACTGGCGGGCAGTGGGAGAAGATGGAACTAAATGGATTTTGTGCGACATTCTGCAAATTTTCTCATCTATGAAACATTTTATCTCAATACAGTTTGTAGACTTTACCCTTTGCAAAAGTATTTAAAACTCACTTTGTTTAGAAGGAGTGCAAAGGCGAATTGAGTTATTGCACACCCGCACTTCAGAGTAGGCGTTCCCTAACGGAAATATGCAGACTAGAGGGATTTGCTCCAGACACCCGACAGGGCCCTCATCCCCGTCATTCGCAGGAGAAAGAGACGGAGATATCGCGGAACGAGATCGGGGTGCCTGAAAAGGAGCCGACGACGAGTAGTTAATCTGCCTTTGCCATCGGTATTGGCCAACGTACAATCGCTGGATAATAAAGTGGACGAACTAAAAGCACATATATCCTACCAACCGGACATTAAAAACTGTAATATCTTATGTTTCACCGAGTCGTGGCTGAACGACGACATGAATAACATACAGCTGGCGGGTTATACACTGTATCGGCAGGATAGAACAGCAGCCTCTAGTAAGACAAGGGGTGGCGGTCTATGTATATTTGTAAACAATTGCTGGTGCACAATATCTAAGGAAGTCTTGAGGTTTTGCTCGCCTGAGATAGAGTATCTCATGATAAGCTGTAGACCACACTATCCACTAAGAGAGTTTTCATCCATATTCTTCGTAGCTGTCTATTTACCACCACAAACCGATACAGGTACTAAGACCGCACTCAATGAGCTGTATTCGGCCATAAGCAAACAGGAAAACGCTCATCCAGAGGCGGTGCTCCTAGTGGCCGGGACTAATGCAGGGAAACTTAAATTAGTTTTACCTAATTTCTACCAGCATGTTAAATGTGCAACCAGAGGGAAAAAAAACTCTAGACCACCTTTACTCCACATACAATGCTCTCCCTCGCCCTCCATTTGGCAATCTGACCATAATTCTATCCTCCTGATTCCTGTTTACAAGCTAAAACTAAAGCAGGAAGCACCAGTGACTTGGTCAATAAAAAAGTGGTCAGATGAAGCAGATGCTAAGCTACAGGACTGTTATGCTAGCACAGACTGGAATATGTTCCGGGATTCTTCCGATGACATTGAGGAGTACACCACATCAGTCACTGGCTTCATCAATAAGTGCATCGATGACGTCGTCCCCACAGTGACTGTACGTACATACCCCAACCAGAAGCTATGGTATACAGGCAACAGCCGCACTGAGCTAAAGGGTAGAGCTGCCGCTTTCAAGGAGCGGGACACTAACCCGGAATCTTATAAGAAATCCTGCTATGCCCTCCGACGAACCATCAAACAGGCAAAGCGTCAATACAGGACTAAGATCGAATTGTACTACACCGGCTGCGACGCTCGTCGGATGTGGCAGGGCTTGCAAACTATTACGGACTACAAAGGGAAGCACAGCCGCAAGCTGCCCAGTGACTGCCCCAACAGATCCACAGATTATGCAATATCTATTGCACTCCACACTGCCCTTTCCCACCTGGACAAAAGGAACACCTATGTGAGAATGGTGTTCGTTGACTACAGCTCAGCATTCAACACCATAGTGCCCACAAAGCTCATCACCAAGCTAAGGACCCTGGGACTAAACACCTCCCTCTGCAATTGGATCCTGTACTTCCTGACGGGCCGCCCCCCAGGTGGTAAGGGTAGGTAACAACACATCCGCCACGCTGATCCTCAACACGAGGGCCCCTCAGGGGTGCGTGCTCAGTCCCCTCCTGTACTCCCTGTTCACTCATGACTGCATGGCCAGGCACGACTCCAACACCATCATTAAGTCAGAGACCTGGCTGTGTGGTGCCAGGACAACAATCTCTCCCTCAACGTGATCAAGACAAAGGAGATGATTGTGGACTACAGGAAAAATAAGAGGACTGAGCACGCCCCCATTCTCATCGGCGGGACTGTAGTGGAGCAGGTTGAGAGCTTCAAGTTCCTTGGTGTCCACATCACCAACAAACTAACACGGTCCATGCACACCAAGACAGTCGTGAAGAGGGCACGACAAAACCTATTCCCCCTCAGGAGACTGAAAAGATTTGGCATGGGTCCTCAGATCCTCAAAAGGTTCTACAGCTGCACCATCGAGAGCATCCTGTCTGGTTGCATCACTGCCTGGTATGGCAACTGCTCGGCCTCCGACCGCAAGGCACTACAGAGGGTAGTGCGTACAGCCCAGTACATCACTGGGGCCAAGCTTCCTGCCATCCAGGACCTCTATAGCAGGCGGTGTCAGAGGAAGGCCCTAAAAATGGTCAAAGCCTCCAGCCACCCTAGTCAGACTGTTCTCTCTGCTACCGCACGGCAAGCGGTACCGGAGCGCCAAGTCTAGGTCCAAGAGGCTTCTAAACAGCTTCTATCCCCAAGCCATAAGACTCCTGAACATCTAATCAAATGGCTACCCAGACTATTTGCATTGCACCCCCATTTGTTGCTAAGTGAGGTTGATTTGATCAAATAATAGTTTCGTAATGCTTAAATTGTTATGAATGTACTGATATAAGTAAGACAAGTGACATCCTGGCAACTAAAAGAAAAAACACATTGAGTTGTTTTCGAGATGGTTATGCATATTCATGCATTGAGGCTAGTAGCATAGCATATCTCTCCATTGAATACTGGCGGTTGATGTTAACAACCCTCCTCAAAAAGGAATACAATAATGAGACAGACCGCTGTACCGCTTTGTGGACGACTTCCATTGTTAGGGCGGAGAGACATGCATCTTGTCAGTATATCCATAATCTTTGGCATAGCACACTTGACACCCTAGAACAAAGCTACTGACTCACGCGACCAACAAACATCTGCAGGTTGCGCTCACACATTCAATCTTAGAAGCATGCACGTTGATGTTCGCAGACCGGGCGGCCTTAGCGTGCATTATCTGAAACTGGATACTTCTCGTTATCTTGGCCAAAAACTGTTAAACCAAGTACTAGCTCCTGGGTTCCAATCATTTGTTGATATTTAAGCAGGAAATCGACGCTTTGCAGCCTAAATTTGCAACCTCCAGTATGAAAAATGTATGTACTCACTAACTGTAAGTCGCTCTGGATAAGAGCGTCTGCTAAATGACTTAAATGTAAATGGAGGATGTTTTACATACGAGCCGGCGCCGGCGTACATACATTCCAGTTGGATGCAATGACAAACTACGTAAAAGGTAGAGCCATCTGTCGGCCGGAATTGTAATTTGGGCGCAACTGTATATGACTAGGCGAAATTATGTGCTACTCAAAGCCCCTTAAATTTAAATGACTATAACTAGGCTACAATGTAAAATGAATGTCAAATAGAGAGACGTTGTCACAAACCTGCTAATCTATGCAACTTTATCTCTGGTTTGAAAACCAAATCCAGCAGTCTTCGTAAACGTGCATTCGCCTGTTTCAAACGGGAGATTTCTTCCTGGTGTTCTGCGATCGTTTTTTTAACTAACACGGATATCTCCAAAGGAACTGCTGTTAATTTTTCGTTGAGAAACACATTGATCTGCTGTAGTTTAGACATTTCGGGGAGGAAAGGGATAGTTGAGAGAATGTATTGTTATTTTGCAGTCACTACGGATCTGTGTTTGAGGAACAGGAAACGATGTGCTTCTTCTTCTTTACATTTGTTTGGCTGTTCTCAACCAACTGAAAGGTGCATACACTGCCACCTACTGTATTGGAGTGTGAGGCCGGTCACAGCCTACCTATACCACTTACAGTTGATGTCGGAAGTTTACATGTACATTTTTACATTTTTTTCATTTAGCAGACGCTCTTATCCAGAGCGACTTACAGTTAGTGAGTGCATACATTTTCATACTGTCGGAGGTTTACATACACCTTAGCCAAATACATTTAAACTCAGTTTTTCACAATTCCTGACATTGAATCCTAGTAAAAATTCCCTGTCTTAGGTCAGTTAGGATCACCACTTTATTTTAAGAATGTGAAATGTCAGAATAATAGTAGAGAGAATGATTTATTTCAGCTTGTATTTCTTTCATCACATTCCCAGTGGGTCAGAAGTTTACATACACTCAATTAGTATTTGGTAGCATTGCCTTTAAATTGTTTAACTTGGGTCAAACGTATCGGATAGCCTTCCACAAGCTTCCCACAATAAGTTGGGTGAATTTTGCCCATTCCTCCTGACAGAGCTGGTGTAACTGAGTCAGGTTTGTAGGCCTCCTTGCTCGCACACGCATTTTCAGTTCTGCCAGTTATAGGATTGAAGTCAGAGCTTTGTGATGGCCACTCCAATACCTTGACTTTGTTGTCCTTAAGCCATAACTTTGGAAGTATGCTTGGGGTCATTGTCCATTTGGAAAACCCATTTGCGACCAAGCTTTAACTTCCTGACTGATGTCTTGAGATGTTGCTTCAATATATCCACATAATTTTCCTTCCTCATGATGCCATCTATTTTGTGAAGTGCACCATCCCTCCTGCAGCAAAGCACCCCCACAGCATGATGCTGCCACACCCGTGCTTCACGGTTGGGATGGTGTTCTTCGGCTTGCAAGGCACCCCCTTTTTCCTCCAAACATAACAATGGTCATTATGGCCAAACAGTTCTATTTTTGTTTCATCAGACCAGAGGACATTTCTCCAAAAAGTACAATCTTTGTCCCCATGTGCAGTTGCAAACCATAGTCTGGCTTTTTTATGGCGGTTTTGGAGCAGTGGCTTCTTCCTTGCTGAGCAGCATTTCAGGTTATGTAGATATAGGACTCGTTTTACTGTGGATATAGGTACTTTTGTAAATGTTTCCTCCAGCATCTTCACAAGGTCCTTTGTTGTTATTCTGGGATTGATTTGCACTTTTCGCACCAAAGTACGTTTATCTCTAGGAGACAGAACGCATCTCCTTCCTTAGCGGTATGACGGCTACATGGTACCATGGTGTTTATACTCGCATACTATTGTTTGTACAGATGAACGTGGAACCTTCAGGCGTTTGGAAATTGCTCCCAAGGATGAACCAGACTTGTGGAGGTCTACAAATTTTTTTCTGAGGTGTTTGCTGATTTCTTTTGATTTTCCCATGATGTCAAGCAAAGAGGCACTGAGTTTGAAGGTAGGCCTTGACATACATCCACAGGTACACCTCCAATTGACTCAAATTATGTCAATTAGCCTATCAGAAGCTTCTAAAGCCATGACATCATTTTCTGGAATTTTCCAAGCTGTTTAAAGCCACAGTCAATTTAATGTATGTAAACTTCTGACCCACTGGAATTGTGATACAGTGAATTATAAGTGAAATAATCTGTCTGTAAACAATTGTTGAAAAAATTCATTGTGTCATGCACAAAGTAGATGTCCTAACCGACTTGCCAAAACTATAGTTTGTTAACAAGAAATTTGTGGAGTGGTTGGAAAACGAGTTTTAATGACGCCAACCTAAGTGTATGTAAACTTGTCATCTCCCGTCTGGATTACTGCAACTCGCTGTTGGCTGGGCTCCCTGCCTGTGCCATTAAACCCCTACAACTCATCCAGAATGCCGCAGCCCGTCTGGTGTTCAACCTTCCCAAGTTCTCTCACGTCACCCCGCTCCTCCGCACACTCCACTGGCTTCCAGTTGAAGCTCGCATCTGCTACAAGACCATGGTGCTTGCCTACGGAGCTGTGAGGGGAACGGCACCTCCGTACCTTCAGGCTCTGATCAGTCCCTACACCCAAACGAGGGCACTGCGTTCATCCACCTCTGGCCTGCTGGCTCCCCTACCTCTGCGGAAGCATAGTTCCCGCTCAGCCCAGTCAAAACTGTTCGCTGCTCTGGCACCCCAATGGTGGAACAAGCTCCCTCACGACGCCAGGACAGCGGAGTCACTCACCACCTTCCGGAGACATTTGAAACCCCACCTCTTTAAGGAATACCTGGGATATGATAAAGTAATCCTTCTACCTTCTATTTGGTCAATAACAAAAGTTTCTCAATACTTTGTTATATAGCCTTTGTTGGCAATGACACAGGTCAAACGTTTTCTGTAAGTCTTCACAAGGTTTTCACACACTGTTGCTGGTATTTTGGCCCATTCCTCCATGCAGATCTCCTCTAGAGCAGTGATGTTTTGGGGCTGTCGCTGGGCAACACGGACTTTCAACTCCCTCCAAAGATTTTCTATGGGGTTGAGATCTGGAGACCGGCTAGGCCACTCCAGGACCTTGAAATGCTTCTTACGAAGCCACTCCTTCGTTGCCCGGGCGGTGTGTTTGGGATCATTGTCATGCTGAAAGACCCAGCCACGTTTCATCTTCAATGCCCTTGCTGATGGAAGGAGGTTTTCACTCAAAATCTCACGATACATGGCCCCATTCATTCTTTCCTTTACACGGATCAGTCGTCCTGGTCCCTTTGCAGAAAAACAGCCCCAAAGCATGATGTTTCCACCCCCATGCTTCACAGTAGGTATGGTGTTCTTTGGATGCAACTCAGCATTCTTTGTCCTCCAAACACGACGAGTTGAGTTTTTACCAAAAAGTTATATTTTGGTTTCATCTGACCATATGACATTCTCCCAATCCTCTTCTGAACTCTAGCAAACTTTAGACGGGCCTGGACATGTACCGGCTTAAGCATAAAACACGTCTGGCACTGCAGGATTTGAGTCCCTGGCGGCGTAGTGTGTTACTGATGTTAGGCTTTGTTACTTTGGTCCCAGCTCTCTGCAGGTCATTCACTAGGTCCCCCCGTGTGGTTCTGGGATTTTTGCTCACCGTTCTTGTGATCATTTTGACCCCACGGGGTGAGATCTTGCGTGGAGCCCCAGATCGAGGGATATTATCAGTGGTCTTGTTTGTCTTCCATTTCCTAATAATTGCTCCCACAGTTGATTTCTTCAAACCAAGCTGCTTACCTACAGCAGATTCAGTCTTCCCAGCCTGGTGCAGGTCTACAATTTTGTTTCTGGTGTCCTTTGACAGCTCTTTGGTCTTGGCCATAGTGGAGTTTGGAGTGTGACTGTTTGAGGTTGTGGACAGGTGTCTTTTATACTGATAACAAGTTCAAACAGGTGCCATTAATACAGGTAACGAGTGGAGGACAGAGGAGCCTCTTAAAGAAGAAGTTACAGGTCTGTGAGAGCCAGAAATCTTGCTTGTTTGTAGGTGACCAAATACTTATTTTCCACCATAATTTGCAAATAAATTCATAAAAAATCCTACAATGTGATTTTCTGGATTTTTCCCCCTCAATTTGTCTGTCATAGTTGACGTGTACCTATGATGAAAATTACAGGCCTCTCTCATCTTTTTAAGTGGGAGAACTTGCACAATTGGTGGCTGACTAAATACTTTTTTTCCCCACTGTATATATATACTACCAGTCAAATGTTTGGACACACCTACTCATTCAAGGGTTTTTCTTTCTTTTTACTATTTTCTACATTGTAGAATTATAGTGAAGACATCAAAACTATGAAATAACACATATGGAATCATGTAGTAAACAAAAAAGTGTTAAACAATATATTTTAGATTTTAGATTCTTCAAAGTAGCCACCCTTTGCCTTGATGACTGCTTTGCACACTCTGTGATCTGTGGGAAATACGTATGTCTAATGTGGTCATACATTTGGCAGGAGGTTAGGAAGTGCAGCTCAGTTTCCAACTCATTTTGTGGGCAGTGTGCACATAGCCTGTCTTCTCTCGAGAGCCAGGTCTGCCTATGGTGGCCTCTCTCAATTGCAAAGCTATGCTCACTGAGTGTGTATATAGTCAAGGATTTTCTTAATTTTGGGACAGTCACAGTGGTCAGGTATTCTGCCACTGTGTACTCTCTGTTTAGGGCAGAAAGCATTCCAATTTGCTCCGTTTTTTTGGTTGATTCCTTCCAGTGTGTCAAATAGTTATCTTTTTGCTTTCTCATAATTTGGATGGGTCTAATTGTGTTGCTCTCCTGGGGCTCTGTGGGGTCTGTTTGTGTTTGTGACTCTTCTCTAGGTTCATCTCTCTGTAGGTGAAGGCTTTGTGGTGGAATGTGTAGGCATCGCTTCCTTTTAGGTGGTTGTAGAATTTAACAGATGGTTGTAGAATTATTTGTCCCATTTTGTAAATTATTGGTTGGTAAGTGGACCCCAGACCTCACAACCATAGAGGGCAATGGGTTCTATAACTGAGTTTTATGTTCCTTTTGATGGTGTAGAAGGCCCTTCTTGCCTTGTCTCTCAGATCGTTCACAGCCTTGTGGAAGTTACCTGTGGTGTTGATTTAGGCTGAGGTAGGTATAATTCTTTGTGTGCTCTAGGGCAACGATGTCTAGATAGAATTAGAATTTGTTGTCCTGGCTACTGTACCTTTTTTGGAGCACCATTATTTTTTTCTTATTGAGATTCACTGTCAGGGCCCAAGTCTGACATAATCTGTGACGAAGATCTAGGTGTTGCTGTAGGCCTTCCTTGGTTGGTGACAGAAGCACCAAATCCTCTGCAAACAGTAGACATTTCAAATAAAATAAAATAAAATTGTATTTGCCACATGTGCCGAATACAACAGGTGTAGACATTACCGTGAAAT